TAAAAATAAAAAATATTTATTAGTAAAATTAAAAACTTTTATATATAAGAAAAATCACATATTTTACTAATTATAATCAGTAAAAAATTTAAGTGTTGCATTATTTTTGATTGTCACTGTATATAGAAATTTCAATAATAATATAATTATTTAAATATTTAAACTGTATATATTATAATAAATTTTAAAAATATTAAATCTTAAAGAAATTATATATTAAATTACTTATTTATGATAATAATTATAAATACCTAGAAATTTCTATTATATAATAAAGATAATAATTATTTATAATAAAAATAAAAATATCTTAAAAATATTTAGAAAGAAAATATTATTTAAAGTAAAATATCAATGTGATAAACCAATTAAATCGTATTGATTAGGATTAGATTTAGAATTAGGATTTTGCAATTTGATTGGTTTATTACTTTAAGAAAATCACATTATCTGAAAAAATGTCTACATATCACACCTACGTGTCGCGTCATTTATAATTTTTTGACAATGACAAGGTCAAGAAGATAAGTACCGTGAAAAAAGATCAATTATACTTTATAAATGTCTTTAGTTTCTACTTAGTGCTAGTTTCCTACTTACAATAACAAAAGGCGTTTCACATTGAAAATTTTTGACAACTTATCGTGATACAATAATTACTTCTTTCTTATTCCAATAATTGACAAAGTCCGGATGGAATATGATATAAACGATTTTTGAAAACGTTAAAAGAAATTAATGAAGATAACTTTTCGATCGAAAGAAAAACATGGTATTATTTGTATTTAATTTACACTAAACTTTTAGAGCGCTTTCTGATAAGTGTTACCCTGACTCAGAAGTATCAAGTGTTGTTGCTCTTGGCTCGAGCGATGGTAATGGAACCGCTTCTGATCTGACTCAGAAGTATCAAGTGCTGTTCTTGGATTTCACTATTGCGATTAGCTTGAAAAGTTCTCTTATTTGAATTTAGAATTGAAACTTTATTAACTTAAAATTTTTTCGCAGAATGATTATGACGAAAATATATTGATTTAAATAATATTGGGAAGAAATAATTGAAGAAAAATATAAAGTGATCGAATAAATTGATTTATATAAAGTTATAAACTAAAAAATTTATTATTATAGAACTCTTTAAAAAGAAAATTAAAATCAAAACATTAAACATTCACGGAGCGATACGTGAATTGTAGGTGACGAAATTCCTGATGAAGTACAAACAATCGAAAAAAATTAAAAGTTCAAATTAGCAACTTATTAAATAATTTGTAGATATAATAATTCCTTTAATTGGGAATTTAAGTGATCAAGAATTTAAGAAAAAGTTAGTATGATAACAAATTAAGACTTGCGGAGGATAATACAAGTCATTTTCGTTAAGTGAACTCTTGATATAGTGAAGATTCGATATAGTGAAAGATTTTAAATCACAGTATTATTAAACTTCAACTCGATATAATAATAAAGTATGTATAGTATTCTCTTGTTATAAGTTATAGTAAAGATTTTTTTTCTTAGCCGATGATTTCACTATAACGAGAGTCATTTGTATTAACGTTAAGTGTTAAATTAATCTTTTTAATAAATTGAAAAACATTCAAAATCCCTGATATAAATGTTAATGGTATACGAGCATGATTTCAAAAAAATTTACGGTAAAAATATTTTCGTTAATTACTATTTTGCTTTTTGAAGATTTTAATTCAGAAATTATAATTTTTCATTTATTTTACAGTTTATGGCGAAAAAATCACATGCAAACGTTCAGAACGTGATTTTTTTAAGGGGTAAACCAATCAAATTATCAAGATATGAAATATTAATAGCATTTCGGGTTAGAGTCAGAGCTAAGATTATATTGTAAGGTTATAATATCTAAAGAGGATTCCATCAACTTTCCTTGCAGATGAAATTGTATTATTCATAAGTTCACGTCGCTATTTAGAAGATGACACTTCATTTTTAAATTAAATAATTATTAGATATATTTAGTATAAATATTTACAAATGTTTACATTTTACATACCATTTCAAATAAAAAAGACATTTTGAGCAACTCGAAATCCTGTTAAATTATCGTTGACGTATGATTGTCATTATGGCTGGTAAAAGTTAAATTCAAGTTTATTGGTTGTTGCTTGTAGTTAGTATGTGACATTATGTATCTAAAACTGATGCTGTATAATTTAAATTTTAGAATATTTGATAAATTCATCTTGTTCTAAAAATATAAAAGGTGTTTAAACACATTATAGCAGATTCCAACAGAAATCAATAAAACTTACTATAAACAATATAAGCCAGTAATATTTTAATACTAAATTTTTCCATTGTTACAGTAGCAATAGACATAGAATCTTAGAGATTCCTTGTTTTGTGATCCATTTTCAGCTCATAATTTTTGTACTTTGCTGTTCAAATAAATAATTTTATGCTTACTTGTACTTAATCTTATCATGCTTAGTAAGAAAGAATTTTAATAATGCATTTTCTTTTTCCTTGCCAGAAAGGCTTGCATAATAAGTTCACTCAATTTCGAAAGAATTTGTAAACAGCATCATTATATTTAGATTTTCGTTTTCAAGTATGAGAACTTTATTTGATTTGCTATGAGATCTAAAAGAAAATGTCAAGCGTTCCAGTTAGAATTAACTGCCTTTAAATCCAGTCACGCACATCTTAAATCTAAGAAAATAATCGATCATTAATATTTGTTTTTTATTTATATATTAAAGGAACTAGGAAGACTAATATCATATAATATATTATCAATATGTTCTCTCCTACATTCAGTTAATATTGGTGAAACTCGTGTTTGATTTGCTTTTTGTCAATCTTAATTCAGTGATTTCAATCCTTGTGCATCACTTAAGTTTGTTGAAGAGTTGAAAAAATGATTGATCCATGTGTTAAGATTATATTGTAAGTTTATATTGTAAATTGTTATCGCGAAGGTATATAGGAAAATTTTGCAAGGAATATGGCCAGGGTACTTATTTTTAAAAAAGTCATGCTTCGAAAGTGTGAATCATGTGACTTTGGATTGTCGCAGATTAAATTTTTGATCGCGTTGACGCGTCTTTATAATTTTTTTTTATAGGGGTAGCCCCGTACTAGCATAATTATAGAATGTAACAACATCATGTGACCTTTCAATAGATCATCGGTGGTTTATGCGGTAGATGCATTGAAGATTACCATGCTTATACATTACACAAAAACAATGAACATTGAACGATTTTCTTGTTCATTATTGTGCATGTAGGGACAAGAGTGGTTCCACGTGAAGCAAACGTCAATTTGAGTAAACATTCATCATATTCCACATATCATTATTAAAATAACCTATGAAGAGATGCGCAAAATGAGCCAAACACTCATAGACCCCCCGCGTGGGGTCTTCATGCTGCCAGTTCCGAGCGAAATGGCCCTTCCTTCTTGGGACTTTGTAAAAACCTCGGACTACTTCATTCTTCAACGTGCTAAAGTCTCGAACAATGTATTATTTCGCGGCGTAATTGGTACTATACAAAACGTGTAAGTTATTAAAAGTGCAACCCCCCCTTTTTCTTATGCTTAATCAATTGCTAATTTTCGATTAAATTGTTTGCAGATTTGACAACAATAAACAATTTCCGTTTCGGATTGTGTTTCGTAGTGAAGTGAATGGAACAGTGTTGCAAGTTGCTGCCTCGCAGACGCAAAAAGGAATAGAAGATGCTTGGAAATGGTTGGAAGGTAATACTTATTCTGACATTGAATTTTTTATTTTTTGTATATTGATATTGATAAAAGAAATTATATTTTTCAAAAATTAGTAAACGCGTTTGATGTGGTGAAAAGTTTAGATGATCCAATTGAAAAGGAGGATTATGTTAAAACCAAAATTGGTTCATTAGTCGCTAGACAAAGTTAGAGCAATTCTATTATTGTTAATAGTACTGTTGCTCCCGTGTCTTGTTACGTTTGATTAATTTTGATTTACTTTGTTTATCAAATATAGATAGAGGAACAGATGAAGTTTCTTCTGATGAAAGTGTTCGATCCGCTTCCAGAACATTTCGCCAGCTTTTCGATGTCCAGCCTACAGAGAGATTAGTAAATTGTAAGGAATTCGAAATTATTCTTCCTTTTTTTATATTCCTTTCTATTAACATTTCAATTCCAATAACGAAATTAGTTTATTCTTGCGCGTATTATAAAAAAATTGGAACTCAAGGATGGATGTATATTAGTGAAAACTATTTGTGCTTTTATTCTTTTCTTTTGGGTATCGAGACGAAGGTGTTTATCGAATTAAAGGATATTCAAGAGATTAAAAGAGAAAAGTCGAAAAGAGGCATGATTTCTGATTCGATTAGAGTTGTGACTAAAGATGGCCAAGAGGTTTGTAAACGTAAAATTAACGTAATTGAAAATTATTGTCATTTTATTATTCCTTATTATTATTATAATTATCTGTTGTACTTTTGATTTAGCACTTTTTTTCCAATCTTTTCCATAGGGATGAAGTAAGTTACATTAGACCTATATCAACAATTTGAATCTCTCTCGACTATTCATTTCTCATTAATTTTATTATAATTAGACCTACGATTTATTGGTACAGTTAACGAGTTTGTTGATGCAACGATTATTGAAAAATACAGTGACGGAACCTGCGCCAGGAACTTTTTATGAAAATAATTTTGATCAACTTGTGGAAAAAGAAAAACCTGAACCAATTAATACAAATGGCAAGGAAGATACAGCACCTCGTTCACCATTAATTATTCCATTGAAGCAAAATCTTGAACTGCAAAAACGAGACACAGAATTTCAATACCTTTTTGGCTTGCCATCGTCCGAACATCTTTTAGAAGAATCAAATGCTGTGTTCTCGATGCCGGATACGGAAGAAACGCAAAGTGGGAAACTTGGTCTTTCTGAAAGTTATCTTGCTTTCGTCTCGGATGATTCACATACTTGCCGTCTTGTGATACCTTTATATACAGTACGACGTGTTGAGAGACTTAATAGTCGCACGCATACTTTTGCACTATCAATCTTAAATTGGCATCAAATGAAGTTGATATTTCTAATGGATGGAATAAAAAGTCATTGTGAACAGTTTTGCAATGTACTCAAAGATAATTTAAAGAATCAGTTGCATTATTTGAAGACACTTAAACCTTTTCTGGCTACTTGTTACTCTGAGGTGCTATTGAATGATTCGAAAAAGGAATTTGCTTACGGAGGATTAGGAATGAAATTCAAATTTCCCGGAGATCCCAAAAAGTAAAATTTTATGGAATTGTTTTCGATTATCTTTTTTACGTTAACAAATTTAATTACATCCTTTCTTTATTATTGACTTTAGGTTGAGAGACCGCAGTAAAACAAAACTTTGGGCCGACTATCTAAAAAGTGTGTATTTGTTAATTCCTCATTTTTTGAGACCAGATTATTCTATATTTATCCTCCTCATTCAAACAATCAATTTTAATAGAGCGTGGTAGAAACATTACTATCATTAGAGTACCGCAATTTAATAAACTTGTTCGTGTTGGATTACCGAATAAATTACGAGGTGAAATATGGGAACTATGCTCTGGTGCAATGTATATGCGATACGCCAACAATGGACTATACCAGAAGATACAAAGAGATTACGCGGGAAAAACATCATTATCCACAGAAGAAATTGAAAAAGATCTCAACAGGTAATAATTTTTTTTAATATAATTATCTCAAAGCAAATGGCAACTTTATTGTTAAACTTATCCGAATTTTAGATCACTTCCGGAATATCCTGCATATCAAAACCCCGAAGGAATTGATACCTTGAGACGCGTGTTAACAGCTTATTCCTGGAAGGATCCTGAATTAGGTTATTGTCAGGCTATGAATATTGTTGCATCCGCTCTTTTGATGTAAGATAATCACTCAAAAAATAGTGTTTTATTATTATCTCACGGTTAGCCTCAATATATTTTTGATCTGAGTGGGAGGTTTATTATTATCATAATAGGTGGCGAGTGAAAGAGATCATTTATGATCTGGTTATATTTAACGCTTGCAGCGCGAATTTGACCCTTTAATTATATCAACAACACTACCAATTTTATAAGTTTGGCTAATTTTTATATTTTTTTCCTAGTTACATGAGTGAAGAACAAACGTTTTGGACGTTAAGTATTTTGTGTGACAGAATGCTACCTGGATATTATAGGTATTTAATTTTATACTTGCTTTGTTGAGGAAATAAGTGATTTACTTACTTAAATGTAACACTTTCAGTACCTCAATGTACGGCGCAATCCTTGATCAGATAATCTTTGAGCATTATGTACAGAAAACAATGCCAATCCTGCATGAACATTTAAAGAAATATGACATTCAGCTGTCCGTGGCCTGTTTGCCGTGGTTTCTGAGCCTTTACATTAATTCTATGCCTCTACTTTTTGCCTATCGAGTGTTGGACTTGTTCTTTATGGAAGGTCCCAAAATATTATTTCAAATTGGGTAAGTTCATTAAATCAATTGCTAATTTCTATAAAGTCATAAATTCTAAAAATCTTAACTTTATTTCTCCATCTTAACTAGATTGGGTAAGATATTTTGTTTACTATCATTCAAGTATTCCAGTGTTTAACACTTTTAATTAGTAAGGTGAATTAACTAACTTGGCAGAATTTTTTTCTCAAATTTAGCTGTACTTAGAGTAAACGGTGATGAACTTTTGGAGACCACGGATGATGGCGCATTTATTAATCTACTCAAAAAATACTTTGCAGCGTTGGATGAGCCAGCGTATCCACAAACCAAAAATCCCAAACATCTTGAAATGACCAATTTCGATAAAGTATTGATTGTCGCATTTAAAGATTTCTTCAACGTGACTGACGAGAGTGTCAACGAGCTTCGAAAGACCCAACAATTAAAAGTGGTCCACAACATTGAAAGTTTCACAAAACGAAGTCAAATTAGGAATCTGAAAGACACCTCAAAATTCACGAAAGAGGAAGTCTCGGTTCTATACGACAAATATTATAACGCGCAATTTTATGGACAACAGCAAAGTGTGAGAAATGACACGCGAATGGACTTGAACACGTTCTACCGATTTCTTGGTAGCATTGCCGATTGGGCGAAATCTGAAGACGATGATCTAAATAACAAGGATGTCACTTCGCCGCGCGATCGCCAAGGACGTAGATTGGTAGGACGAGAATTTATCAATAAATTATTCACGTATTTTGATCATAATAGTTCCGGCGGTATCACATTACAAGATGTAATAGGCGGGCTCGGTAATATTGTCTTCGGTGATTTGATGTCTCGTATGGAACTTTTCTTTCAATTGCACGATTATAATAAAGATGGATTTTTAACAAAGGATGAAATATTACAAATGTCTGAAAGCTTTTTATACATATTTCGCACTCGGAAAGAAGACGATAGTCATTTGAATGCTGTTTCAAATTTTATAAAAAATGCATTTCAGTATGCTGACAAAATAGATGAGCCTTCTGAGGAAAAGACACAGAGTAATAATGAAAAGGATAATGATAGTGAAGAGACTTCTATTAAAAATGTCCCGAACATTGATAAAATTAATAAAGTGTCAAATTCCGATGAACATATACGGCTATCATTGCCATCATTTCGTATGGTAGTATTGGCTGACGAATTTCTAGAGAATTTCTTCGATAGAGGCTTCGTGTCAACTTTCAAACTATCGGAACCACCAGAAGAACGACAAAAAGGTCTTGGTCGAGAAATATTCGACTCTCTGATGAATAACGGGATGGGATTAGCGGGCAAAGTCGGGAAACGATTAATACGAGGCAGCACCATAAACCCTCTCTCTCCTACCTCATTAGGTTCTTCATCCTCCCAACGTCGTGCTCTAAGTTCCTCCTCTTCATCATCTACCAGTGGAACATTGTCAACATCACCTTCCGGAAAACTCGGAGACGCCAATAAAAACATTAAAGATACTAACAGTTTGACAGCAACTGAACCGGTTTCCTCGCCTGCTTCCGAAATTTCCGAGGAAAAAGGATGGTTTGATGGATTGCAACCTAATGAAGGTGACGACGATGACGAAGATTTAGATGAAGAACATTCGTTGCTGTTGCAAGAAGTTGATAAATTTTTGGATGAATTTTCGGAACCCTAATTTATCGTCAGATCTTTTTTTAATTTAATTTAATTAATTTATATAACGATAACAAATATGAGCATCAGCCCATTTTGGTATTCATTTGTAAACTATTTTATTAATAATCTTAGGCTACATAATTTTATTATTGAAAATCAATATTTATACACGTACTATAGAGACATCATTCATATTAATTTACTAAATAAAAAATAGAATATTGCAATATCATCTTAATTAATATCTGAGCATTAGTGAAGTGGTTTAAGCGTGAGAATTTTGATGATATAACTGGTCCAGTTTGATTTTGGGAAAATCGAAAGAGACTATGATGTTAAGAACTTTTTGTATGAGGCTTTTGGCGTGGGAACAACAAAGAATCATCTTATAAAAACGGGATAAAGTCCACCTAATTTTCTATCAAACAACATATTTGATGCAGAATGATCGAAACTCCAATAACAATAACGAAAACAATTTTATTAATTGGACAAACCGGAAGCGGAAAGTCCACAATCGCAAATGTAATCAGTAATACCAATCATTTTAAAGAAAGTCAATACGGTGTGTCGGAAACACAAGATATCCAAATTGAAAGCTGCATGTTGCAAGATGAAAACTTGGAATTGCGGATCATTGATACCATTGGTATCAATGATACCCGATTCAGCGAGAAAGTAGTGTTGTCAAAAATTGCTGAGGCCGCCGATATGGTCAAAGGCGGGTTAAATCAAATTTTCTTTATTACGAATGGTCGGTTCACGGAAACAGAAATTCAAGTGTATACTTTACTTCGAACAGTCTTCTTCGCCGAAGACATCGGGAAATATACAACAATTGTTCGAACAAAGTTCCCGGGTTTCAGGAACCATTCTAAATGCAAAGAAGATGAAGAAAGAATGGTTGCCGAAAACGAAAATGTTGCAGAGATCATTAGAAGCTGCCACAAATTTATACATGTCAATAATCTGACCGAAGAAGAAGAGCTTCAATTAACCTCGAGGATTGAATGTCGAGACATATTGATAAAGCATCTAATTCACAATTGCAAAGATATTTATAAACCAAAAAATTTAGATGAATTAAATGAGAGAATTGAAGATCATATGACATTTAAAAAGCTAATGCGAGAGGAGGTTTATGACATCAAGGAAAAATTGAAACAATTGGAAGAAAGAGCGCAAAAAGCGCAAAAATCAACTGATGAGGCGAGAGAATTAGAAGACAAGTTGCGACGCGAATTTGAGAAGCAGTTACATGAAAAGGAAGCATCCATGCGAATGTGTAACGAAAACATTATTAAAACCATGACCGATCAAATAAGAGAAAAGGAGAAGACAGTTCAAGACATGGAGAAGAAGGTTCAAGACATGGAGAAGAAAGTTCAAGAAAAATGCAATATATTGTAAAAAATTGATTTGAACTTATTTTTGAAAATTTTTTCGTCTATTAGCATTCATGTCGTAATTCTTATACCCAGTATAATGAAAATTGAACAAGTTTTATATGATAAGTATACAAAAAATTATACTAAATATTTAGAAGTCAAAAATATCTTTTATAAAATTTTTCAAAATTATTATTAGTTACAAATATAATATAATATATTCAATCTTGTAATATCTGTTAGCAAAAAAATAATTACATAAAAATAATTAGTTAACATCTATCAAAATGAAGAATTATTTAAAAAATTAATATTGATTTAATAGATTTATTATTATTATTTTAGTTAAAGCTATTATAAGATACGGATACGCTTAAAAAATAATCAGTAATAAAAATTTAATATTTATAAATAAATTGTTAAAAGAATTTAACAAAATAATTAGTATTCTAAAAAATCTGATTTAGTTCAAGTCTGATTTAATTTAAGCTTGAATTTAAATTGAATTCAAATTTGAATTATATTTTGAATTTAAAGTTTGAATTAAACTCAAACTTAAATGTTCCTATACCGTATTTTCGTGAAATAATGCCTATCTGCACATTATTTTGAGTACATGCGTGTACGTTACTTGAGACAAGAGGTCGTAGTAAATGTACTAAATATCAAGATGATGCTGTTTTTCACGTTTTTTATATCATAAACAAATTTATAATGACTTAATATTTTACTGATTTCACTTATTGTTTTTTGTAAAATTAGGAACAGTTTGATTCAATCCAGTTCTTTTCTTTTTTGAAACTAGAACTGATTTGAATTTTTTGGATTTAAATTTTTTGATTTAGTTCTAGAAAGAATTTATTTAAATTTTTTGATTTTAGCTCCAGAAGAGAACAAAAACTGAATTGGATCAAATCGAAATTTTTGGTTCAGTTTAAAGATGAAATTACAATTAGTTGCAATTTACTGATTAATTATTACAAATCGCAATTAATTAAGATGTTATCTTTAGTTCAATTCCACTTTGATTTAGTTCTGTACTGAAAATTTTATTTTGATTCTGGTTCTAAGAAAATAAAACTGAATTGAACCAAAAAGAACTGTTTAATTTCAGTTTAGTTCTGATTTAGTTTATTTTAATCAAATGTGATTTATAATATGTTCTGTATATTTCAAAATCTTTTTTCAATTTCATTAAACCGCTTACTATTCAAAATTCTCCACACTTTATCGAAACATTTATTGCCGAAATCATTTAAGAGCAGAAATTTAAAATCACGAGAACGATTATTACCATTACCAAGTGGTTAAGAATTCTATATTAGTTTGACACATAAAATTTTACATTGAAGCAAGCTCTGAATTAAAACACGGTAACCAATTTTTTTTTTAATTAGAAATTGAACAAACAATATTGTGTCTCCGACCATTGGTATCAATGATACCCGATTCAACGAGAGAGTAGTATTGGCAAAAATTGCTAAAGCTTCCGATATGGTCAGAGACGGGTTAAATCAAATTTTCTTTGTTACGAATGGTCGGTTCACGGAAACAAAAATTCAAGTGTATACTTTACTTTGAGCAGTATTCTTCGTCGAAGACATTGGGAAATACATAACGATTATTCGAACAAAGTTTCCAGTACTTTTAGATGCAAAGAGGATAACGAAAACAAAGATATTGCAGAGATCATTGGAAGTTGCAGCAAAATTATTCATGTTAATAATCTGACTGAAGAAGAGGAGCCTCAATTAACCTCGAGGAAGGAATGTCGAAATATATTGAGACAACATCTAATTTATAATTGCAAAGATATTTATAATCCAAAAAATTTAGATGAATTAAATGAGCGAATTTAAGACCATATGACTGATAAAGAGCGAATCAAATGAATTCTAAACTTGAATGGAGGAAATTGTGGCAGATAAATACAAAACTAAAGACGGAAAATGAAATATATTGTAAAAAATTGATTGTATTCAATAATGTTTCGATTTTAAAGCTTAATTTTATTCAGATTCATTTCATCAATTGTCTTTATTTTTTCGTTTTTAAGAGTTATTATACACTTATGAGGTTTAGTTCTTATACCCAGTATCAAAATAAACGCGAGACAGTAAAATAGGTATTACTGTATTTTATTTAAAAACAAAATTCATGCCCGTATCGGTATTGCCGAAATCAGAAATTTAAATCACGGGAACGTGATCATTACCACTTTGCTAATTTAGTTAACGTTTACTTTTTAGCAAGTTTTACGATAAACCAATTATTATCGTTATCGTTAGTCAACCAATAACGATAACGATTTAAATTACTCTCACAAAGACACGTGGATTCATGATAATTTGCTGAATACGTAACAGTTTTTTACCATAACATAAAAAAATTAAAGTATGGATGAAGATGAGGAATTAAATGTGGATGATGATGATGAAATGACATACGGTGATGCTCAATACGGTGAAAAAGACATAATTAGAATACATGTTAATAATCAAAGTGAACATGATGTCGCATTACTAAATATGGTAGCTGGAAGTAGTGGCAGTAATCAAAGGTATATCTTTTATTAATTGTACTCAGGTATACGAATTAACAATCATACTTCATCAAGTATTAAGAACAAGAATACTAAAAAGGATCTGTTAGATATCAATGACAATATGACAGGTTAGTTATTGACATTTAGATTTTTTGTTCTAATAAGAATACAATTAAAAAGATATCTTTTTCGTAACATTGAGATAATAAAATCATAGTTCCCGAATTGCCCCACGACCCTAAACTTATCATCGAATCACTTAAAATACAGATCCAAGAACTGGTATAATATTTTTTGATTTTAGATGCTCGATCTTTGTTTCTTGTGATATCTTAGTTTTTTTTTTTTTTTCCTTTGTTTGATAACAGAAAGCAGCAACAAAAGGTATGCCGAGATGCTTGATATGTCTGGAAGCTTATCAAACGCCGGTCACCTCAATTGTTTGCTGGCATGTACACTGTGAAAAGTGTTGGTTACAATCTCTTGGAGTTAAAAAGCTTTGCCCGCAATGTCAGAAAATTACCACCGCTAGTGATTTAAGAAGAATTTACTTGTAATAATAAAATATGATAAAAGATGTAACAACAAATATTGAACTATCATCAACGTAAATTACAAATGCATGATAAATTCAACACCACCAACTTTGAAGAAACGCGCTTTGATTTTTGAAATTTGGTATTTTTAATCTTTGCGATACAATCTTATATAATACCGCATATTTTCAAGTGGTGCTGATTTATGGTATTTTAAATCTTCAGGATACCTGATTATTGAATAGGGAAATCAATGATTGTCAACACTGAATGATCATTATTATTCTTTAAATAATACACACCGATACCATGTCGAATTATTCGAGATTACGGGCGTAAAACCTTTGAGTGCGTCTAAAAGGAAATAGATCATATATGTGTTTTCTCCGATTTTAATGTTTGAGAATGATCCCGCAGAATCTAAGATCTGCCTCGCGCACGTAGATTGTGAACGATCAAAAGTATTTAGTACGAATGAATTTAAAATAACCAGGAAAATCACGCTAATTATCAAATATCCTACCAAAAGATGTGACCCTTTTCGCATCATCTTTACAAGAAGTTGAATCATTTCAATAGCCTTCTTTTTATTAATAAATAATTCATTCATCACAAACATGAACGTGATGAGATCCGCTTTTGCAAATTGCTCTTTGAGTTTCTGTGTAGGTTCCAACACATCATCCACAGAAAACAAGCATTCTAACTTATTATGGGAAATATTCCATTGCTCTCGGATTGTCAGTTCAAGGCTATTGAGAACTTTGCTCCAATCTACGTAATCTTGCATATGCAAGATCAGTTTTCCTTCAAAAGTATTACTATCATTATTTGATGATGATATTTGATGGTGAAATAATGCGGTTACGAATCCTACCAATTCACTACCCGCACCGGAACCCACACTAAAAACTCGAGTTTCATCGTTATTGTTATTACCAAACAGCTCCAATATTTTCGGTTCATTCTTGATTAAATTAAAGTAGCATAACGCTCGACCAGGAATGTATCTCGCAGAATATACAGATAAATTTTCATGGTCCGTAAAGACAGCATCATAATCACGATTGTAAAATGCAGCTTTTATCAATTGAAGTCTATTCTGAAAATCTTGCTGGTCTAATGTATTCTGAAATACTTTTTGTATCATATCCAAGATTCCTAAATTAAATGATATAGATATATATATACTTGGAATTTACATTTAACAAAAAACATCATAAAAGTTTGCCTACTTTGCTCCATGATGATTAAAGATATCTTATTTAACTGGCAAATAAATAAATAATATTTATATTTGTACAAATAGAATTCTATCAATCTAAAATATACATTAACATTAATTATACAACATTCTAATAAGATTACAACACATGATTATTTCTGCGAATAAGATTTGTTCCTCTGACGAAGTGAAGTTTTGGTGGTTGGCCGATTAGAATCTCCAATATTTGTCGGTGCTGCTGAAGATTTATCTGATGATGATGATGGTTGTAAGTTGTCCTTGCTATCGACTCGACTAATCTATTAAGTCATCTAAGCGTCAAAAATGTGGAAACAACAGTAGAAAACGTAAAAACGTAAAGCTTATAGTCTTATTACCTTACGACGTTTTGCTCTTAATTGAGTGCCTGGCGACTGCCATTCATCATTTTTTTTGTTCTGCTTAGTAGTGGTATTATCATTCAATGAAGGAACTACACGACCAGAAGGATGATCTTGGGAACTTCCTATCCCAATCGAATCTTCGATGTCCTAAAAGAAAAAATTTCAGCTTTAATAAACGAAAAAAAAATAGTTTTTAAGAAGAGAATATACCGCACTTTCTTGATAGTCATTTGAGATTCTTCAACCTTCGTTTCTGTTATTGAAGGATTCTTTTGTTCGATAGAGTCAATTACCTGAAAATTTATCAGATATTCAATCTTTTGAACTATTATCAATAATGTGAAGTTATTCTTTATTACTTACCATTGAGTTTATCTCGGAGAGTGTCAAGTATTTGCTGCAAGCATTATCAGTGGATTCGTGTTTAGGAAGTTGGTTGAACACACTTGCCTCGGTATGTTCTATCGTATTCGAGGAAGCATAGAGTGAAGGGGAAACGACTGATCTAATTTGCGTTTGCTTATTCGTCTACATAATAAGAATACAAAAATGAAAGAAGTTATTCAAATGATTAATAATGAAAATTTTTAAGATCATTCAAAAATTATACCTTTTGTTCGTTCATCAACTGTACATCCAATTTTATTTCGGTATTCGGAAGCTGGGCCTTTTCGATAATAATTGAAAATAAATAAATTCATAGAAACATAATTTAATCAATTAAACTTACCATTTGTTCTGTAGATGCGCGATCTTTTGACTCTACTTGAAGTAGCTTAGATCTAAGAGATCTCTATGTATTTTATATATCTTAATGATATATTACGTTTAATAAAAAATCACAATGTGCCTTCATAAATCATGGAAACATACAATTTCTTCATTTAAGGTAGATTCTCGTATTTCTGCTTCGCGTAGTTTGCAATCTCTTTTCCGTATCTCATTTTCGTGTTGGACGGCCGCTCTTTTGGCTAAATCTTGATAATAAAGCTGAGCTCTATTAAGAGCTTGATCAACCGCATTTTTTTTCTGTCAAAAATAATATTTTTCTATTTAAATATTTCACAAGTTTTCCAGCTGAGGAATAATCTAAAGACCTGAACTTCAGTGTTGCTCGTTCCCAAAGTTAATTTATTGTGCTCTTCTAAAAGTTTGTTATAATTAACAGTCATTGAGGCGAGTTCAGATTCTATAGATTTGAATTTACTCTGGGAAAAAAGTGAATAAGATGAAACGAGTAACAATTTTAATATTAATATTTCTTTAGGAACATGAAAAAACGCTCACGTACCATTGATAACTCAAGAGCCTTATTCAACTCTGTGATTTTATTCTTGGTTGTAGAAAGTTCTCGATCACTTTCAGCAATAAATTTTTCGTGTTGAATTAAAACATCAATTTCTGGAATTTCCGCAGTTCCTACACCAACTTTTAAGGGTTGTATAGATCATTTGCATCATAGCTAAAAAACGATGGGAAATTAAAAATTCAGAGAGCACAAACTTGAGAAAGATTCAATCTTAGGATGAACATATTGACAAAGTTGTTTCTCGAGATCTTCGATTCTGCGTGAAAAGATTGAAATATATCAGGTATATGCTTTTTATTCATAACATGATTTCAAAAAAAGTAACCCACTGATTCTTATATTTTTTATTTGATTGCATGATTTCATCCAATTTAACTTGAGAATTTCGTAATTCCGCCTCGAGACGTAAATTTTCTGTGCCTTTTTCATGAAATTTTGACTCTAATTTCGACCGCTGTTCACGTTCTTCACGACATTCAGATTCGAGTCGAGCGTTTTCATCATGCCATTGTTGTTCCCAAGCAGTGCGCTTCTTTAGAAAATCTTCTTGTAAGCGACAGATTTCCTCGCGTCCTTCATTTTCTAATCTTTGCCGTTCTGCTTTTTGATGCGTACGTAAATTCTCTATTTCCTGGTATAAATCATTGATCTGTTTATTTGTGTTCTCTTTTACGTGGTCAAGTTCAGCTTGTAAACTTTTACGCTGCGTTTCGATGGATTTTAATGATAAAATTCTTATGGGTAAAAAAAAATATTAATTATATTAATAGCTTTAGCAACCTGTGTATTTCAAACTTCTTAGAAAAACTCACTGATTTTCTTTTTCCGTAATGGCAACATTTAGACGTTCATTTTCCCGATGCATAGATTCCAAATCCACTTCATGCTGATGAACCTTGACCGTTAATAAATTAATTCTGTGAAAAATGATTAGCCATTATATAAAATCTTACAATCTAGCATTACTATAACGGAAAGGTTAATTACTTTTCTTCGCACTCCTTTTTGGCTTCAGATTCCACTTGCGATTGATTTTCAGCACGTTCCACATCAAGCTTTAGCTTTTGGACTTCCTCAATATGATTAGATTTCAGCAAATCATATTCACTAGTTAAAGTCTTTATACGTATGTGAGAAGCTTCAAGTTCTGAAGCGCTTCTGGAGGAATGTAGAATAGATTGTTGTAATTCTTCTCTCGATTTATTGATGATTTCGTTGGCTTGAACATTGTCTTGCATTAATTTTGAGTTACATTCTCTCAACTGCTCCAGTTCAGCGCGTTCTTTAGAGAAAAATAAAAATTATATGACCTTTATAAAAAAAAATTGAAATCTAAGAATTAACATTTTATAATATTTACGCGTTCCAATTAAAGATGCATTGGTTTCCTTTGTGATCTCAAATTTGAATGCAAGTTTATTCAATTCTATGATTTAGTAAAACATGATGCATAAATATAGCGAATTTTATTCCGAGATAAGTTTTTAATCATTAATATCTTGCCTTGCTTCACATGCTCAACTTCTTCATCAATTCTTTTTTTTTCAACATGAATATCTTGGATATTCTTTCCCATAGATAAAAGGGTATCGCGATATGTAAAGAATCTTGATCTTATACCGCCAATACGCTGGCGATTTCGATCAGTGTCTGTAAATTGCCTTTTGATCAACACTTCGACACACTTAATACGCTCGCTATACTGTTTTATTGTCTCATCACGTCGTAAAAGGTCTTTGCGCAAGTGATCTATAGTGTCACTCTCCACATGAATTAAGTTTTACAATATCTTATAAATACAGTCATTCCCTTGATCCAAATAGTTATTATAAAGGTATTTCGAATGTTTTGAAAGGTTCTCTTAATACTTACTAGTTTATTAATTTCCGTGTCTCGCCGTTTTACTTCAGATCTCCATTTTTTCACCACATCCATAATCATACTGAATTCGTCTTCTTCGGATTTGTTTTCGCTTATCTGAATTATTTGGGATGTTTTTTTAATATCGTTTATTCTATTATTTGATTCTATGCTAGAATCGTTTGTTCTATTACGAGTAGCTAATGGATCAGAGATTTTGGAACTATATGAATCTAAATTTGAATCAGAGGATGTGTCTTGCATCACATCTGGTGGTTGTGATTTATTATTGCTGTTGTTGTTGTTGTTGTTGTTGTTATCATTATTATTATTAGTCGACAAATTGTCCATTGTGTGGGAAATTTGAAAGGTCGATTGATCAACATCATCCGAATTAAAAGTCGTTTCGTTTCTTTGTGAGAATAGAATCGATGATTCAATAGAATGAGACTCATCATTATCACCGGCGTCGCCATCATCATTGTTTCTTGGTAATGAGTTTGATTCAGCTATGGTGTGATTATCAAGATTGGAAAGATCACGACTGTTGATGTTTTGACTAGAACTAAAAACATGTGATGTTGATGATTGAAAATCTGCTTTTGAGCCATCTTGAGGAGAAGGATCGTCTGTACTAAGATCTGAGGATGACAGGGGAAAATTATTTTCTTCTTCCCTTGAAATTAAATTGATTTCTGGTAATTTTTCAGGAATATGGATGCTATTGTTATTGTTGTGATTATTATCAGAAAGCATTTGAAAAGCAAATAAACTTTGGGTTTTTGCTCCACCGATGCCAGTTTTTTCTTGTGCAAAGTCAGCACCACCGCTACTTTCTTGTTGCTGTTTCCAAGGAACAGAGAACTCGGAATCTGCTGCCGACGTATTAATGTTATTATTACTGTTAATATGGCTATTACTGCTATCACTGTTATTATTATTATTATTATTATTCTGGAAGTCTTTAAAAGAAAGACGTTTTTTTCGAAATAGTGGTTGCGCGAACACATTTATTTCAGGCGTTTGTAAATTACTATTATTAGACTCGATTGTATTCTGAGAATGAAGGATTGACAGTCGAAAGCCTTCCTCTTGTAAAGGTGGCTGTTGACGTGGACGTCCAAACACAAACTCTGCTTTTTGTTTCTCATTTAGATTTGAAATTGTATTCGTGTTTGCGTTTGCAATTTCACTTGAATTGGTACTAACTGTATCCAGTTCAAAGACAGACGACGGTCGTTTCCCTACTTCTATCGGATTTGTAATAAGAGAATTTGCTTGAACACGTTCACTTGACATGAATGAATGTAAATTTTTTCCTTTCAAAAATCAATTAAAAGAAAAGTTGACTCTATTATTGTCATAGTAGTGGTAGTATCTACAGACGCGATTTTCGCGTTTAAAAATCGTGATTTATATGATTTATATTTCGATCAACTGAACGTGAAATATATTCATAATGATAAAATTACTATCATTTACAGATGTTTACGAACAGGAAAAAAAAATCAGTGAGTTTTTCTAAGAAGTTTGAAATACACAGGTTGCTAA